CCCTCCCTCCCTCCCTCTCCCCCTGCTCCTTTCTCAAATTTCTGCTGGCTTTCCAATTTATTTTACTTATGGGAAGCCAAGGAGAAAGTCAATGAAAAAGCTAATTGTAGTTGCAAATCCAAGGCCAGCAGGTAAGGAAATGGATGCTACTGGCAAGGTGAGGAAGCAAGGGGGTCTCTGGGTCAGAAATACTATGGGTATGTGTGTGAGGAGCCGTGTGAACTGGATATGGATGGATGGATAGATAGATATTTTCGCATATTCAAACTTTGTAATGTGAATTTATACTAATGATATTGGCAGGGTTTGCCAATTCTTTTTTTCAGATTTTATTTGCAATTTATAATATATATTGTGGTATTTGATATGCATGTATTAAAACATCACTTTAAATAATAACTATTAATATAGCTCAGGAATGTTTAATTAAACATTGAACTGTATTAATAGTTTGATTAATATTAATATCAATAATTAATTAATAGTTCAATAATATCCAATTATTTTACATAGCAAGAGAGATTGTAATTACTAGATCCTTCCTTTTCAAGTTTTGGTAATGAATAACAATATTTCATATATCTATAAGCATGAATGTAGAATGCCAGCAATAACTCCAGAAATGGCAGCTGTTAGATGATTCTGTGAAATATTTAACATGTCAACAACAAATATCATGTTTCCTATTCTGATATATCTGATAATTTATTGTATATAAGCTTATTCCTTACAAATGAGAAAATCTAGAATAATTAGAAAAAATACAGTCCCTGGTTGCAAATACTATTTGGACTTCAGAAAGAATATTGTTACTTCAATAGATAACGTCAATCTAAGAACATTCAAAATGCAGATCTGAAATACTGAACTAGGGACCTGCTTTCAAACATTGCTGGTGTGCAGGAATTTTTATATTTAGAAATGTATCTCATTCTTGAATAATTTTTCCTTTTCTTTCAGGAAAGTCTAAAACTTCAAGAGACCATGGATTCAGCAGCTGCACTTATTACTATATTAATAAGAGAACGAAATCCTGCATTTGTTGGTCAGCTTCTAGTAGCATGAAAAATAATTTTTCAGTTATTTGTGTTTGAAAGTAAAGATTTTTTTAACAATTAAAAACTAGGGTTTGTCACTAATATATTTAGCATGAAATAAAAATATTTTAATAAATATATTTATAATAAATACAGAAGATTCAGTTGCATGTTGTCTCAAGTGCCTTGAGCAGAGAGGAGTGTTATGAAGTAGGCTAAATAAAATACTTTTAACAAGATATAAGTGAAGAGTATTTTTGAAATATTCTGGTTTTAAGTCTGGTTCTAAATCTGGTTCTGTTGAACTCTAAATTTAGGAAGCTATTAGAAGTTATTTATTAAAATGCATATAGCTGTTATTTTATAGAAATACTGTATAGTCATATGCTCACATTTTTGCTATTTTTGTAGATAGGCAAAACAGAAAGGTCCATGTGAAAAATATGGTTGTTACAACCTTTGTTTTGCTTTATGTAGCCTCTACAGTTGATATCATCTAACATATAATGGAGATAGATCAGCTTTCCAAAACTGATTTACCTCAGATGACCTGGATTTCAGCTTCTGTAATGTCTAAACATCATTGAGAATTTTAGAAATTGGGGAAGACTAAATTGTATTTTGTAGTAAGATTCGTTGTATGGGCAAAATAAAACAAAGTACTATAAATTACACTTATGAAACAAGTTACACTATAGAATAATACCTACATGATAGGATTAAACACAATTCCATCATCACCAAATGAAATTCTAGAATATAGTAGTAGTAGTAGTATTGCCACTACTAGAGTTTTCTTCGTTTCATGAGCATCTTGATCTTCTATATTAAAATGAATCAGAAATCCTCACGTTGAAAACTCTCTGTAAATCTCCTGAGCTGGAAATAAAAGCCTACTTCAAGTGACTGTTAACAAGGCTTACATATTCCACTACAAAGTTTTCTGTTTTATTTTGGCTTAGCAAGTTGTATCAGTCCAGCTGTTAGGGTTTGGTGATCATGATTGTGGGCTTGACATTGCACATGAATGCATCTTCTGTGACTAATGGAACCAGCACCTTGCATTTTCATATTTTAGAGCAGCTAACTTGTATCTGTACTGGAATGTAAGAAAGACCTCAAGAGATAGGATGAAAAAATGCTGCCTAGGAAATGGTAAAATAAGCTGCAAAGCCAGTAGCTGCATAATGGGCAGAGAAAGAGAAGAGTCTCTTTATCTCCTTTACAGGCAGTTAAGGAGACAGTGGGATATTTGTACTTTTAAAGTTGCAACATTCTGTTAATGTAACCTTACAATATAGTAGAATCAATTCATATGAGTATTTTTCCTGTCTGGTTTACCCGGAAGGCTGACATTATCTTAGGTCATCTCCTTTTTATGCAGAGACTACTTTATTTTTATCCAGCCTTTATTTTGGAACATAATAAAGGGAATATATATTACTCCTGCCTAGTATGATCCCCACAACAATTCTGTAAAGTGGGTAGGACTGAGAGGGTGATTGGCCCAAAGTTATCCAGCCTGACTTTCATGTCTGAAGGAAAACTAGATGGTTTTTATGTCAACATCTTGACCACTGTACCATTTGTGTTCAGCAATAAATGCTAAACATTTAATTTGCATATTTATAATTTTATAATATTAGTAGTAAGGATTGAAAGAGCTTAAATGTTTTTTTAAAATGCTAATACATTGTTTATTTTCTACATGTTATTTGTGGCAAACATTTTAATACTAATAATAAGCTACTATTTAAATTAAGATGTTATCTTAAGAAATCATATAATGCCCACTTTATTGTCCCTTATTATTCATATGGAATAATTTGTATTCTAATACCCTTATGTATGCATGAACATACTCCAGTTGCATTTATGATCCTCAACTGTATGATTTCATGTAATATATGTAAAAATACTAAATAAGTTTGGCTGATATTAGATGAGCATTAAGCAATTTTATACTTTATTGTGGATATTCATGCACATAGTCTTTGAGGTTGAGTAGATCATTAATCATCTCTTACGTCATTTCATACATACTTGAGGTAAATAAAAATGCTTATAAATTGACACCTTGAATATCCCCTTAGGTGCTGTTTGCTTCATGAAGTTAAAGTTTACCATTTATGGTAGAGTTAATAGAGCAATTAGAGTAGTTTGGTGCAGAAATTCTATTTTCAAGTAATTCTTCTGAAAAAGTTATAGCTTTCTTCTTAATAGCGCAATAGGGATGTAATCAATACTAAGAAGGTCATGCAAATTGTTAAAAGCAAACAAATAATATGGTGAATGTTCAATAATTCTGTGAGTTCTTCATAGGAAGTGTACAATTTTGTATTTTCATATGAGTCAAGCATTCATCATAGGATGCCAATTGGAAAGACAAGACTGTGATCAAACTTTTCAAGGAAAGGGAAAGAAAAATAAAAAGATAGTTTAACTTTTCTAAATATCAACATTAGAATATAAAAATGTGATAATAATGGTTAACTAAATAAATGATAAATTAAAATTAATAATTTTGTACAAATGGTGTTAGAAGCAAAAAGTAGTTTTCTTATTTGCTGGAAATAAGAAATAATAAGAAATGGAAATAATCTTGTTAGGCTATCTATAGAGCTGTTGCTTGATTTCTGAAATGATTTGTGCAGTGTTTTGACTACTGATTCAAAATAAAACTAATATTATTAACAGGATAATAATGGGTTCTATAGCATACATTTGACTGGAGTATAAATTTTACAATTTTGAATAAAAAATACTGAAATAGCATATGTAGCTTCAAAAAAATGTCTCTGCCAACTTTATTTCATTGCTCACAATCTTATGTTAAAGGGCCAAGAATCATTCTAAATTTATAGTACTTCAGCCAGATCTCTTAAATTCATACACAAAGCAATACTGATGCATTTTAACAGATAAAATATTTTCTGCACTTCAACTGTCATGGTTTTCTGCAATGGTGCAAATGAAGAGTTGGCAATTTGTAGAAACAAAAGCTGTAATCAACTCAGTTTTAGATGACAGTTGAGATTGAATCAACAAAGCATGATGATTAAAAAAATATATAAAAAAATAAAACTTGATGTTAATTGTGTAAAAAATGTTTAGGATAATTGTATGCTTTGATCCAGAGTTTGAGATTGTGGAGAACAGTACAAAGACACTTAGTCCAAGCTTGCTGATTGGAAAATAATAATAGAATATTTATTTATATTTATTTATATTCCGCCTTTATTTTATAAACTCAAGGCAAAGATCATCTTTAATATCCCTTCCTCTTCCCGTGTTACACAACAGCAACCCTGTGAGATGAATTGGGCTTAGAGAAAATGACAGGCCCAAAATCACCTAATTGGCTTTCATGCCTAAAATAGATTAGAACTCAATGTCTTGGTTTCTGATGCCTCAACCACTAAACCAAACTGGTAATAATTACAGAACCTCTTCATATCAAATTCTTGAGGAAAAATTCTGCTGTAATACACCTTGATTCAAATTGAGGAAGAGATTGTACTTCCATACAATATAAGGAGAAAGAAACAAGAAACAAATTTCTAAGCAAGCAAGTAGACAATGCAATAGATAAAAGCAGCTGTACAGAACCTTGGTATATTCCTCAGAGCTATTCTGTGGGCTATCCTTATAGACTCCCAACTAGTGTCTTAATTCTATAATGAAATTACCTAATTCTAATCTCATATATTAAAAATGTATGATTTGATATTCATCCTGTCTTGAAATATATGGTTTGTTGAGTAAAATATCCATCTTGAAATATATGGTTCATTGTGTGTGTGATTTTGAAAAAAAAAAGGCTATTTCCTCTTGCTTTTTTCAAAGATCACTTTCTTGAATCACATTTTTTTTTTCTGGATTAACTTGAACAGATGCCAAGACATGCAAAATAAGTATCCCTTGTGGTGCTTTAGTTGATAATATTTTTCATGAATTGATGCTTTTTGTATTTGTGTAATATAGTGAATCTACCTGAAAGATCTATTTCATGGCCATCTTCTTGAAGCTTGATTAGTGCTGAACTTGCAAACATAAAGATAAATGTAGATGTATCTGATTCTGAGTTTCATATTTCCATTTGCACATTCATTGAAAAATTATTTTGATTTGATTCAAACTTTACAGCAAAAATGCAGCAAAATCAATTAATTTTAGAATCTATTGATGAAAGCTATAGTTGGAAATTCTTTGTTTTGTTAGTGACTTATATTTTGTCCAGGTTGTTCCACCAAAGCTCAACCTTTCGAGAGCTACCATTTGTATTTCTTGCCTGAGCAGGGGATTGGACTAGATGACCTCCAGGGTCCCTTCCAACTTTATTATTATTATTATTATTATTATTATTATTATTATTATTATTATTATTATTATTATTATTATTATTATTATTATTATTTTATTTTATTTTTTTTCAAACAGAACACATAGCATATGTGTCTTTAAAGGTGCTTCCTGGCAATTTTGAACAAGGAGTTATTGTTGTGATTACTTCCACACATGATTATTATTATGGCTAATTTTTAGTCATTTGCTCAAATTAATCAAAACGCATTGGCCTTGATTGAAAATAGTTATACAATTAAAAATAATTAGTACTGATTGTCCTATGAAATATAATAACGATTGTGTGAATTTTATGGAGAATTTGAACACTGCAATATTTGCAAAACAATCTAATAAAGAGCAGTTTATTAGAAATGTGTCCGGCATGAAAGACATTGTTGATTTTTGGGAGTTTTGCACTGATTCATACATTGTTGCCCTATGGAAATACAATGCTAAAAACTTATTTCCTTCAGCTTTCTGTAAATATTAATTTACATGGCGTCAAGGAAGTCCAATACTATGGCTTGTGGATTAATACTAAGCAGAATCTATTTAGATTCTAAAATAATATTGAATTTAGTTTTTGTAAAACTTGATTTACATTAGAAAGCTTGCTACTTAAGGGATTTGAATTTTTTGCCACAAAAAAGCAGACACTGTGCTTTCCACATTAATCAACTTTTTAATTCCTGTTCATTGTAATTTGTTTCCCCATCTGTTCCTTTGAAATAGAAAGAAAATCCATTCCTTTAGGCTCGGCGCTTCCTGTCTTAATACTCTGTTGACACTTTTGTTGCCGCAGGCAGAAATAAGCACCCTGGTGTCCTCCAGATTTTTTGAACTCCCACAAACTTTTGCCATCT